TGACTACGCTGACTTTCCTTTCAGGCAATCCAGTTTCCTGTTCGCACCAATCAAATACCCAGGCAAATTCCACCACACCTCGTGCTTTCGAAAATGTTTCCTTCAATGTTCATGGGCGGCGTGCTGCCATTCGGTTGTGTACTGGTTCAGATGTTTTTCATTTTCAACAGCATTTGGTTAGTTAACTTATTTTTGATACCTCTAATCATGTCTTGATTTAATAACTTGCGCGTTTTAGATTACAAGGTTGAGTTGTCTTTGATTTATGTTCAGTCATTCCCGCGAGACCGCACGTTTCCGGCGTTTTTTTTACAGTTGTGGTTGAAAATTATATCTACGGATAATTTTGATTTTGTTGCCTGAAGACAGTGCTTCGTACTTGGAAAAGCCCCACCCGCTACCTGTAGATTTAAACTTGACCGCTAATATCACCCGCCTGTTTTTGAGGGAACCTGATTTCGCACTGAGCTTAAGTTTCTGTGAAGCTAACTGGGACGCTGTCGAAATTTTATTTTAAACGTCTTGTTTGTGCTGTTGAACTTGAATTCTGAAAATGATTGTTTCCCTTTACCTGTTAATAATTGTTCTATGCATAATCTTTTCAATTCATGATTCACTACAACAAAACATTAAGGTCGATGTTAAATTCCGTTGTTTCTAACAGAATGTAAATCGATCATGAGAACTCTGTGAGCTTTTTGCAGGTTCCAAAACCTTTTGAACGACAGTCAGGTAGTGTCATAGCCTCAAACGAGTCAGCTGTCACGCTCTATTTGTCGATCGTTTCGTGCAAGTTCAGACGTTTATGACCGCATGTATGCCGAATTACTTGAATCCAACAAACCAGGTTTCATGACATTTACTGGTTCCCGTAACATTAAATATGAACAAGATAGTTGAAGATGTGCCTAACAGCTGAAGATGCTAATTTACGGTTGAGCGGTAACCAGCTTAAATGTCCACTATGCATCATAGAACAAAACGAAGTGCAGCGAAGCTACAAAATAGATTTTATGCATATATTTACATTCATTCAAGTATTTGCGAGCGCCTTGTTATTGTTTTTGCCATGCACATCGTTCGCAAACTTGGTAAGACCGTACAATTTGTAGGGCGCATCAGACTTATTACATGTTCGGATTTTTGTTTCTGGTCTTCATCATATTGCTGGTAACCGTATCTGAAACGACCATCCTCTTGTGCTATTTCCATCTTTGTGCTGAGGTAAGTAACTTTTATTTTTCTCACGCTCACTTCATCGATTGTCACTGGTTTTACAGGACTACCAGTGGTGGTGGCGATCGATCTTGACCAGTGGCTTCACTGGTGTTTACCTATTTATTTACAGCGTCTATTTCTTTGTTGCCAAGTTATCCATCACCGGCTTCGTTTCGACCGTGCTTTATTTCTCGTATACGCTAATCTTTGTTTTCATCTTCATTCTAATATGCGGTAAGAAAGTTTTGGTTTGAGGTTTAAAATTTCGTGTTACTTTTATTTATAAAAATTATTTCATGAATTACTTTGCGCCGTAAGGCATAGTTTAAGGTTACACACACTAAATATCACGCTATGGCACCACAGTTCAGGTTTTCAAAGCAGAATATGTCAATTTTCCCAGCACATCGGTAGGTGCGACAAGAGTATGCCATGCAAATGCTGAAGCAAGTGGAAATTCGAACAGTCAGCTTTTGACAAGATGGGCATGACCTTCCGCCTGCGTAGATACGTTGCTCTATATAATTGCAAAAGCATGTGGAATATGTGATATTCAGTTCGAGTTATGATTTGTTTTACCGATGGAACCTGACTGGCAGATATGGTAACACATAAAAGTGTGCAGAAATTTTATTAATATCAGTTAAGCTCGTTTGTCATTTCTGATTTGCTCTACTTAGCTTCGGTTACTGCACAAGTTTTGCAAAGTAGATGCGAAATGTGTTTCGATCACAATCAAGTTTATGTGGCTCCCAACCTGAAAAGATAGCGTATTCATGCTTTAGGGCGTTCAGCATCATATTCAATCTTCACTGAGACAATTTGCTCTCCTAACTAATATTCATCTTGATTGTTGAGACAATTGAATGAACATAGAAGGAAGTGCTTAACAAGCTAATCACTGAGTAAAAGGCTGTATGGAACGTTTGAATGCGTTACTGATCTGAACATAGTCGTTTTTAACAGCAACAGGAAAAAGTAGAGAGGTACAGGTCATTGCGAGAAGTATTTGAATATTTTCATATACAGAGTGAACACATGGTTCGCAAATCCTGAAGTGATAGTACCACAATCTTTGTCTCCATAAGTATGCTAGTCTGCTAATGCAGGAAAGAAACAGATGGTAAAAACAAAACGATATGTAGACAGTGGAGGCGTTTGATCTGATTCAGTTTAATACTGATTTTAACTTGTTATTTTCAGTCTTATGAATAGAACTTGATATAATTTTGTCCTTTTATGCCTGCACTATATAAAATGTTGTTTTACTTTAGGAACGACTGGTTTTTTCGCTTGTTTCTGGTTCATTCGGAAGATATACGGTTCAATCAAAGTGGACTGAACAGCAACATTTGCGTTCTGGAATTCGTTCTGTACACCGAAATAGTTTATTTCAAATTTTTCGGTTATTTCGCTCTCGGTTAGAACCAACTAATGTATAAGAACGCATTTGCCTGAGCTCGTTTCTGTTGCTCCAAAGACCAAATTCATGGATTGCCAATGAGTTCATTATTTAACATTTTTGTTTTCGACAGTTACCCATCCGTGCTATGCTATTTGATGGTCTATGTTGTGGGTTTATGTTTTCATTTCGAACTCTGATTTCGTAATCAATCGTTCTTCCCCCTTCGTTAACTATTGATTATTTGTAAATTGTTGGAGTTGTGTACAAAATGCTTAGGTAATTGCAAAATGCGATATACGTCTTCTTAAGTGATGGAGTAAGTTTTTATGGGTATCTGACGCTGCAGCGTTAAAATTTCGTTTGTGGCGATGATTTTTTCGTGGATTCGTAGATCATCCATCACGATTCGATTTTTTCATGGATCATCCTAAAATACATATAGATGCATTGGCGTAACGTTTTTCTTCATAAGAAAGCCAATAAATTATAATTTCAGTTATGATTCACCATGTTACCGATTTTTGGTCACGTCGCGATAAAAATAGCGGTACATTTACTCGTTGTTTCATGCTAATCTTTTTTTGAAGTCTGATGTATGTGATTCCTTTTCTCTTTGGCGTTGTCCACTCACTTATTCGAGAAACATGTTCCCAGAAAGTCGGACGGGATACTGCTTTCTCCTTAATAAACCTTTTCGCCTGCACTGTGGTTTAAGTACTTCTGTAGTTGGGACCGGTCTCACCATTATGTTATGCCATCTACATGATTATTACCAGATATATGTTGCATACATTTTGTCTGGAAAATTTGCTTCATTAATCTGTCATGGCAGTTGTTTGTTTACGATCTATACTAGACAAAGTGAAACTTGTGGCATCCACCATTATGCCTACCATTTTTTCGCATAGTGGCAATGAATAATGATCTGCCAGTATAGTAGGTACGAGTCAAAAAATTCGTATTGCTAATTTGCTATAAAATTTGTGGACATGACATTTTTGATTCGTGGTTAATTGCTGAAGTTACAAGTAACTGACGTATGTTTGGAAAAACCAGACAACGCATATGTCTCTGCTTCCAAACGTACGTCATTTTATACCAGGGCAAAACTGATATGGAAGGCTTCAAACTGGCGTTATGCGCATAATAACATCTTTTTCATCTTCCATCGCCGCTTCTCCTTTCGAATCGCGGAGGCAGACACGTCAGACAGAGTTTCCAACGTTGCCAATCCTGTGCCGGAGTATGAGCTTCGGCAAAACACAGGTGCAGTCTGGAACAGACTCCTTCCATATGTTTGCACCAGGTTAATCTTGGCCGTCCCCTGGGCCTTCTGC